TTTTATAACTGTGTACTTGGCTTTCATATCTCCTCTTCCGTCAGCTCACGACAGCATTTCTAAATCTCCTCAGCTTATCTTCATAACTCATCGACTTTTGGCTCTCAGAAGTAGTTTTTTTTTTATTTAGGACTTGCATTTCCTCCGTTTGCTCTTATTTTAGGTTTGAACAACATCGCTGTATACAGTATTAATTTAGGGTATTTGGGTATAACTTACGTAGTTACGGGTATTCTTGGTATTTCTTCATGTATATCCGAAGACTGTTTTAAAGCTTAAATGTGTATTATATGTAGTCAACTTGTTGAATCTGAGAGATTTGATATCTAGCTCTTGGGCCTTGCCTTTACACTTCGATTTAGTTGAGTATTTTTCTCCTGGTATTCGCAGGTGTGTGTACTCACCTAGTTGTACTCACCTAGTTGAGGTTGCGGGGGTCGAGTCCGAGCTCCTGGCCCCGCCTCTTCACTGATCGCTACTAGGTCACTCTCCCTGAGCCGTGAGCTTTATCGTACCTCTGCTTAAAGCTATGTATGGATCCTGCCTCCACTACATCGCTTCCCAAACTATTCCACTTACTGACTACTCTGTGGCTGAAGAAATACTTCCTAACATCCCTGTGATTCATCTGTGTCTTTAGCTTCCAACTGTGTCCCCTTGTTACTGTGTCCAATCTCTGGAAACATCCTGTTTTTGTCCACCTTGTCAATTCCTCTCAGTATTTTGTATGTCGTTATCATGTCCCCCCTATCTCTCCTGTCCTCCAGTGTCGTCAGGTTGATTTCCCTTAACCTCTCCTCGTAGGACATACCTCTTAGCTCTGGGACTAGTTCTTGTTTGCAAACCTTTGCACTTTCTCTAGTTTCTTTACGTGCTTGGCTAGGTGTGGGTTCCAACTGGTGCCGCATACTCCAATATGGGCCTAACGTATACGGTGTACAGGGTCCTGAACGATTCCTTATTAAGATGTCGGAATGCTGTTCTGAGGTTTGCTAGGCGCCCATATGCTGCAGCAGTTATTTGGTTGATGTGCGCTTCAGGAGATGTGCCTGGTGTTATACTCACCCCAAGATCTTTTTCCTTGAGTGAGGTTTGTAGTCTCTGACCCCCTAGACTGTACTCCGTCTGCGGCCTTCTTTGCCCTTCCCCAATCTTCATGACTTTGCACTTGGTGGGATTGAACTCCAGGAGCCAATTGCTGGACCAGTTCTGCAGCCTGTCCAGATCCCTTTGTAGTTCTGCCTGGTCTTCGATCGAGTGTATTCTTCTCATCAACTTCACGTCATCTGCAAACAGGGACACCTCAGAGTCTATTCCTTCCGTCATGTCGTTCACAAATACCAGAAACAGCACTGGTCCTAGGACTGACCCCTGCGGGACCCCGCTGGTCACAGGTGCCCACTCTGACACCTCGCCACGTACCATGACTCGCTGCTGTCTTCCTGACAAGTATTCCCTGATCCATTGTAGTGCCTTCCTGTTATCCCTGCTTGGTCCTCCAGTTTTTGCACCAATCTCTTGTGTGGAACTGTGTCAAACGCCTTCTTGCAGTCCAAGAAAATGCAATCCACCCACCCCTCTCTCTCTTGTCTTACTGCTGTCACCATGTCATAGAACTCCAGTAGGTTTGTGACACAGGATTTCCCGTCCCTGAAACCATGCTGGCTGCTGTTGATGAGATCATTCCTTTCTAGGTGTTCCACCACTCTTCTCCTGATAATCTTCTCCATGATTTTGCATACTATACATGTCAGTGACACTGGTCTGTAGTTTAATGCTTCATGTCTGTCTCCTTTTTTAAAGATTGGGACTACATTTGCTGTCTTCCATGCCTCAGGCAATCTCCCTGTTTCGATAGATGTATTGAATATTGTTGTTAGGGGTACACATAGCGCCTCTGCTCCCTCTCTCAATACCCATGGGGAGATGTTATCTGGCCCCATTGCCTTTGAGGTATCTAGCTCACTCAGAAGCCTCTTCACTTCTTCCTCGGTTGTGTGCACTGTGTCCAGCACTTGGTGGTGTGCCCCACCTCTCCGTCTTTCTGGAGTCCCTTCTGTCTCCTCTGTGAAAACTTCTTTGAATCTCTTGTTGAGTTCTTCACATACTTCCCGGTCATTTCCTGTTGTCTCTCCTCCTTCCTTCCTTAGCCTGATTACCTGGTCCTTGACTGTTGTTTTCCTCCTGATGTGGCTGTACAACAGTTTCGGGTCAGATTTGGCTTTCGCTGCTATGTCATTTTCATATTGTCTTTGGGCCTCCCTTCTTATCTGTGCATATTCATTTCTGGCTCTACGACTGTGTGTGTGTGTGTGTGTGTGTGTGTGTGTGTGTGTGTGTGTGTGTGTGTGTGTGTGTGTGTGTGTGTGTGTGTGTTTTCATTATATTTGGTTATGAACCATGAATATGAAGCTTCAACATTATTCGAAATCGCTTGTTTCACTGCATTCACCCTGCTCTTACACTGCTCTTAGACTGCTCTTACACTGTTCTTACACTGCTCTTACACCGCTCTTACACTGTTCTTACACTGCTCTTAGACTGGTCTTACACTGTTCTTACACTGCTCTCACATTGCTCTTCCACTGCTCTCACACTGTTCTTACACTGCTTTCACACTGCTCTTGCACTGATCTTACACCGCTCTCACATTGCTCTTGCACTGCTCTCATACTGCTTTCACAATGATCTTATACTGCTCTCACACAGCTCTTACACTGCTGTTACACTGCTCTCACATTGCTCTAATACAGCACTCACACTGCTAACAAACCATACCACGGGCGGGATTTGAACCCGCGGTCAGAGAGTCTCAAAACTCCAGACCGTCGCGTTAGCCACTGGGCCAGCTAGCTTTAATAAGATTCGTCCAACTAGGTGTATTTCTACACCATAGGAAGGTTAGCATAGGCACCACTGTGTCCACAAATGCAAGTTTTTACAGACGAATCTCCCGCTAGCTCAAGTCCACTCAAGTCACGGCCACGCTAGCGGGAGATACGTCTCTAAAAACTTGCATTTGTGGACACAGTGGTGCCTATGCTAACCTTCCTATGGTGTAGAAATACACCTAGTTGGACGAATCTTATTAAAGCTAGCTGGCCCAGTGGCTAACGCGACGGTCTGGAGTTTTGAGACTCTCTGACCGCGGGTTCAAATCCCGCCCGTGGTATGGTTTGTTTGCAGTCGTGTCATTACGATTTCGTGACTCACACTGCTCTTTCTCCCTCACAACTCCAACACCCTGCCATCGTCTTCCCCACAACCCCAACAGTTTCCTCACGTCCTGGTCTCCCACAGAGTTGTCACCACCATGCCAGAGTACAAGTTGGTCTACTTCAACGGCAAAGGTCGCGCTGAGCTGGCCCGCTGGATATTCGCTTACGGTGGTATCCCCTACACCGACGAGCGCATTGAGAGGGATGACTGGCCAGAGAAGAAGAAGAGTAAGTACAATTGTAACACTCGTAAATAGTGTGTCAGCACATAACTGAAATACTGAAAAGTAATTGTACCTATATGTATATATATATACACACACACACACACACACACACACATATATATATATATATATATATATATATATATATATATTATATATATATATATATATATATATCGTGCCGAATATGTAAAACTGGTCAATTAGCAAGAACTCATTTAAAATTAAGTCCTTTCTGAAATTTTCTCTTATACGTTTAAAGATATATTTTTTCATTAATATTGATGCAAAAATTTATAATTTTGCACCAAAAGAATCTTAGAAAACTTACCTAACCTTATTACAACAAGATATATATACGTTTAAAGATATTTTTTTTCGTTCATGTTAATGTAAAAATTAATAATTTTATACCAAAAGTGTCGTGGGGGTTCGAAAGGAGATAACGAGGGTTGAAAATAAACACACTTGTGGATGGTAACACTATATATTGTCAGACTGTGGTAAGGGAGTCCAACCTGCCGTGCGTTGCCTGGTAGACCTATGCGTGGACTGAGAGAGTTACAGAGGTACTCGCGCACACATGGGCATCTCGTGACGTCACACAAACTCGTCCCTAGGCCTAGTAAGAGGTCATATCTATAAAACATATGGATGGTACTATGATACTCAGATAAGCTATATAACACATGTAAGGGGGATCAGCAACTATGCTGACAGCTCGGTCATGTTACGTATGTCGTCTCGACATGCAATACTATGCTATAGGCTGAACAGGCAGGTGGTTCTGGGCTGATTCTATACAATAACAAAGACATATGTAACTTAGAACTGATGGATTGTATCATAATGGATGTTAACATAATGAGTTTTAACGTAATGGGTGTTAACGTAATGAGTTTTAACGTAATGAGTTTTAACATAATGCATTACGAATTAATAGAACAAATCATGGTATAATATAGGATGGAATTGATCGATCGATCTGTATTCATGCACTCTATGGGTTCTGAGGAAGAATAAATATATATACAAGGTGAAAGTAATTAACAGCAAAGACAAATCTGGTGCACACAGATCATTACTTTTAAATTCTCAGAATTCGGAGGGAACGTGAACACGAAATTTTTTTTTTCTGAAAACTGATCAGCTGATAACAAAACACACAGTTGAGAACTTCATTCATCTTGGACATCTAATTATACAGACTATGTACATTTAAACCCAATTCTGCGAGGGTAAGGTTTACATATGCAGAATGGTTATCATCTTTAGGTGGATCGAATTCTTCTGCAATGGCTAACACATGCCTTGACTGAGGGCGATCTGAACGAGTATCTACAAAAGATACAGTTACATTCACTAGTGACTGTGGAATTACTAACTGGTATACTCTTCTGCTAGGAGTACTCAACTCGGCTGTTCGATATAGTAATTCTTGGCTCATTACAAAGTCACTAATGGGTGCTGGTGGCTTCACAGTCAGAATAAGATCTTCCTGGAGCAGAAATCGAATCACACCAGACCACAAAGGATCGGTTCTTTATTACTGGAGGAATGAACAAACTCGGTGGAGCGGATGACTCTCCCCAGTTGAAAAATAACGCTGTAACACGCAATATGAGCAAGGGAGAATGGATCTACTATCTCTCACTGCAAGCAAAGGGAAAAAGAAATGAACACGGTCAACAATACAGATATTCAATCTGAGTCACACACAGTGACCGAGGTATCAACTATAAAGAAACTACACTTACAAACGTTAACAACATGTGAAAGTTACTCGAGAAATAACTTCTTACAATGCATGAATTACTGTCAACTAGGATGGGATCACCATCTGGAATACAAGGGACAACAACAACACTCAAGTGAGTACACTAGCCACAGAAACATCTTTCTGCAACGGCATGTGGCATCAGCAAGAGATGGCATAACTCGTTGCAAGTAAAGTTCTTCTCAAAGCGTCCCCTGGGAAGGAACGAATACTTGAACAAATCGCCATCGCAGGGATAGTAGTCTCAGCACCCATGGTTGTCTGAGGTTCCTCTGAAAGTCAAGGTAGCTGTATACTATCCTGCGTACACGATATTGTGGCTGGAATCCAGACAGGAGTGACAGTATTACTAGTGCCTGACGCTCGGGTAAGTTAATAAGTAATTCACGGATCAATGGAGCTTAATCTGAACTTCACATTTCGCAGCACTTTAACAAATCTCAGATACAAGCTGTGAGAACAAAAACATTGCTCAGGGGCTAGGTATTGTCTTCCAGTCAGTAAGGGAATACTGGTACTGTGGACTGATTCATATTGACTTTGACTGGCATGATACACTAAGTGAACATTCAAAAGTGACTGGGACATCTTCTCAGGGAACTTACTCAAGGACATAAAGGCAAGAAAATAAAGAGAATATATGACACAGTAAGCTTAAATGGGAAGAAATTACTTATTTAAAAAAATAAGTCACACTGTAAGCAAGGAGAACATTAAAATAAAAAATTACTCAACTGGATAAGCAACAGTTTGAAAATCAAGAGAAATTACTTTACTCAAATCAAATTTACTCAGATTTACTTTAAATTGAATTAATGGCACAGTGAGTTGTTTTTACTCTCAATGCAATAAGGAAATTCAACAATAAAATGATAAATCAATCAAAAATGTTAAAATGGAATCAATATAGCTTGTGCAAAATTAAAACAAACTGGGAAAGCAATTCTAAATAAAAAATATTAAGTGACACACAAGGAACAAAATATTATGCACAGAAAATGTAAAACTGAAATCACAGAATATTGCACTGAAATAAACTGTAGCAATATTGCAGATAACAATTTCTAATCAAAAGTACTGCACAACACTACATAAAAATTTCTGTAAGAAAAATTTTAATGGCAACACAATGTTTACACAAGAATTATTGTAAAATGAGTCAATGTTGCAATGATAAAAAAAAATTACACATACAAGAAAATACAGTTTACAAAAAAAAAATATATCAAGGAATGAACTGATTGAACACTTTAACTCTTAATTGCAGCTTAAGCAACACTTACTGAACAAGCAAAAGTATGATTTACTTTAAAAGAAGAACTTAAAAATTGCACTAAGAGTGAATTTGTTCAATGAAATATAAAAATAATAGATGCCAAAAAAAAAGAACAAAAAGGTTTGAACACTTACAGTGATGCAGAACACAACATATCAGTATAAACACAATACTATAATTTTCTTGCAATGAAACTTGAGGTATGAAAATTTTGGAAAATAATTGTCTTGCTTCAACAAAATAATGGCACTATTGTCTGGGAGATAAAATGGCAAATGAATGAAAACAAAAACATCAAGAATACACAAATGCTGGGAGAAAAAATATAACTGACAACACTGAGTTGTGATGCAGAATATAAAGTAATAAATTACTGAATTACTTCACTGCAATACTGTGAACACAAGATAATTGTGAAGTGTAAACACAAGTTTATACTGCTTATATATTGCACACAACCAGGAAAAACATTAAAATGTACTTACACTCAGTATAAAAAAAAAGAAGCACTAACATAACACCATAAAAAAGCACGAAAATTAACACTGAAAAAGAGGAAAAAAAATTGCAAACAGTATATAACACACGAGTTAATAAGAACACTGAATGCACTAAGAAAATCACTAGAAACACCACAAAAATGTCTCAACACTCGTAAATGTCTCTATGAAAAAAATATTATTCGTTAACACTGTAGCGATGTTGCAGAATGAGGTGGATGGTAGTGGTGGAGTCTCGTGGCTGGCAGCGTTCCTACTCCACACGTGATGCCTCGAAGAATTTGCGCTTAAATCGACGATGGACTCACACAGAAGGCTTTTACGATGGCGCATCTGACGAAAGGAACACTCTTGGCTCTTGACCCCCTATGTGGTCCTTAAAAATATGATGCTAGAACCCGTAATAAGGGTACAAAAACAGTGGTAGTGGGTGAGGTGGGTGGTTGAGGCAGCGCGGTGGTGACACACTGCCTGGTGACTGGGCCTAAGGGATCAATGGTGTAAGCCACACTGGGGACACCCGCACTAGGCACGAAAATATTCTAAGCCTGGCTGGCTTAAAAACAAACCCACAAAATACCACAACACCACAGGGACGATAAAGCACTCAGAACAGCTAGAACTGGAAACACAAAGCGATGAAGAAGACTGTACCCACATGGCTTGCTTGTGTACTGGGTTAGTTGCTGGCTGGCTTGGCTTAACCCTTCACACAGACTGGCTTGATAACTTGTAATGATGAGCACAGAAGGGGTGGAAAGCTGGCTTGGCAGGCAAGGCTGGTATGGTGTAAGGCTGGCTGGACTGGGCTTGGGCTGACTCCCCCACCACAGACTGGCTTAAGTGGCTTGGCTTACTTTGCAAACCCGGGTCAACCCCTTGGACGTAATGCAAATAGCAAGATAAACACTAATACACAGAGACTGACCAGTGAATAGTGCAGAGGGCTGGTAAAAGCTTGCTCGGTAGCAGCTTGGCTAGGTCGGCCTACTGGCCACACAAAATGTCTGTCGTCGGCTGAGAGAATTTATCTCCGTCCATCGGCGTAATTATCAATTTTACGCCCACACCGCTGTCACCATTTGTCATGGGGGTTCGAAAGGAGATAACGAGGGCTGAAGATAAACACACTTGTGGATGGTAACACTATATATTGTCAGACTGTGGTAAGGGAGTCCAACCTGCTGTGCGTTGCCTGGTAGACCTATGCGCGGACTGAGAGTTACAGAGGTACACATGCGCATCTCGTGACGTCACACAAACTGGTCCCTAGGCCTAGTAAGAGGTCATATCTATAAAACATATGGATGATACTATGATACTCAGATAAGCTATATAACACATGTAAGGGGAATCAGCAACTATGCTGACAAAAGTACCTTAGAAAATTTACCTAACCTTATTATAAAAAGCTCAATTTAATTTAGCCTATTCCATCTAAATATTTATAGATAACTTTGCTATAATTTAATAATAAACAAAGACAATGAAATATATTTTTTTCGTTAGGTTCAGAATGATTTATGCGAAATTATGTCATACACAAATTTTCGCTTGCCTTATTCGGCAAGAAGAGCGTTGCTATTTAAGCCAAGATCGCAAGTTCTGCCTATTCGGCACGACATATATATATATATATATATATATATATATATATATATATATATATATATATATATATATATATATATATATATTATATATATATATATATATTTATAGGGAGGTACCACCTTTAGAACTATTCTAGGGACCCTCATCCTCAGAGAAAAGAGTAAACTTGCTTCAGGGAACACACAAGGTTCTCCCTGAAGCTGTTTGCGGTGACAACACTGTACGCAAACAGGTCCCGCACAAATGTAACCCACGCTTACATTTGTCCAATATCGTTAAATTGTTCGCCTGACATAGAACACACATACTCCTCGGGTGCTGCATGAGCCCCACGGGTATATTATTTTACAATTAACATGATAATAATACTAGGCTGACACAGCTGAATTAAGGACACACGTTGCAGAACACGCTTTTACTGGGACAACAATGAGCTCCGTGTAAAGCTTATTTATGGCATGACTTGATAAAGCTCTACGCCAGAAAAATAAACATGCTCCAAAATCATATGTATTTTTCTCATTATCTTCACAGCGCCATTTGTGTGCTAACACAGCTCTTCTTGTGTGTGTTGACCCTCAGGCATTGAAGGGGGCAGGTTGCCAGTGCTGATAGTGGATGGCCATACACTGCCCCAGTCCCTAGCCATCGCTCGCTTCTTAGCCAAGAAGGCCGGACTCGTGCCGGAAGATGACTTCCGGGCTGCTGCTTGCGACGCTCTGGCCGACACCATCTCTGATTTGATGAGAGAAGCACACAAGGTTATGTAAGTGATGCAGTGTGTTGTACACTGATGTAGTTTAGACTGATGTGTTGTTCACTGATGTATTTTACACTGATGTGTTGTTCACTGATGTAGTGTATTGTTTATTGATATGTACACTGATGTACTGCACACTTATGCAGTGTGTTGTACATTGATGTAGTGTGTTGTTCACTGATGTAGTGTACACTGATGTGTTGTACTCTGATGTAGTGTATTGTTTACTGATGTGTACACTGATGTACTGCACACTTATGTAGTGTGTTGTACACTGATGCAGTGTTCAGTGATGTGTTGTTCATTTATGTAGTATGTTGTACACTGATGTTGTACTCTTATGCACTGTGTTGTACACTGATGTAGTGCATTGTACACATATGCAATGCGTTGTACACTGATATGCTCAGTGATGTGCCGTTCACTTGTGTAGTGTACACTGATGTGTCGTTCACTTATGAAGTGTGTTGTACACTGATGTAGTGTGTTGTTTATTGATGTGGTTTGTTTTACGGTAATTTAGTGTGATGTATATTCTTGTACCACACACACACACACACACAAAACCACACACACACACACACACACACACACACACACACACACACACATACACACACACACACATACACACACACATACACACACACACACACACACACACACACACACACACACACACACATACACACATACACACACACATACACACACACACACACATACACACACACACACACACACACACACACACACACACACACACTTACACAATACACACACATACACACACACACACACACATACATACACACACACACACACACACCACATACACACATACCACACACACATGTACACACATACACACATAACACATACACAACACACACACCACACACACACACACTACACACATACACACATACACACACACACACCACATACACATAAACACATTCACACACACACATACACACACACACACACACACACACACACACACACACACACACACACACACACACACACATACACACATGAAAGAGTAAAAGAAGCATCACCGGACAATCATAGCTCTCACAGAAACCAAGCTTACAGGTATGATAACAGTTTGCCATTTTCCAACGGGATCCCCAAATCCTCAGGAAAGGACAGAGGGAACAGGGGGGTGGAGGAGTGGCATTGCTGATCAAAAATCGCGGGAAATTTTTGATGAGTTTGGAGAGAGGAGACAGCGGAAAGAAAGGATTACATAGCGGGAGCGCTTCACTTGGAGGTCCCAAGGTGGTAATAGCAGTGATGTATAACCCCCCGCAGAACAGCAGGAGGCCAAGGCAAGAGTACGACGAGAGCAATAGAGCGAGGTTGACACACTGGCTAGAGTGGCCAAAAAGAGCTCATGCATGCAGGGCAAAGTCCTGATCATGGGTGACTTTAACCACAAGGAGATCGATTGGGAGAAATTTGGACCCACATGGGGGGCCAAGATACATGGAGGGCTAAGATGATGGAGGTGGTACTGGAAAACTTCATGTGCCAACACGTAAGGGAAAACTACAAGAGAGGGGAGGAGAGGATGAACCAGCAAGGCTGGACTTAGTATTCACCTTGAGTAGTGCGATATCGAGGACATCACTATGAAAGCCCCCTTTGGGGCAGTGACCATGTGGTTTTTAAAGCTTCGAATACACAGTAGAGCTACAAGTGGAGGGAGAAACAGGAAGGCCAGGACGAATGAAGCCAAACTACAGAAAGGGGGCCCACATAGGAATGAGGGAAATTCCTGAACGGGGTTCAGTGGGACGAGAACTGGCAGGGAAGCCAGTTAATGAGATGATGGAATATGTAGCAACAAAATGCAAGGAGGTGAGGAGAGGTTTGTACCCCAAAGGGGAAACAGGAATAATGAAAAAGCTAGGATGAGCCCATGGTTTACCCAAATTTTTCAAGGGGGGCAAAAACCAAGTGTGCTAGGGAATGGAAGAAATATAGAAGGCAAAAGGGCTCAGGGGAATAAGGAAGGGATCGTAGAGCCAGAAACGAATATGCACAGATAAGAAGGGAGGCCCAAAGACAATATGAAAATGACATAGCAGCGAAAGCCAAATCTGACCCGAAACTGTTATACAGCCACATCAGGAGGAAAACAACAGTCAAGGACCAGGTAATCAGGCTAAGGAAGGAAGGAGGAGAGACAACAAGAAATGACCGTGAAGTATGTGAGGAACTCAACAAGAGATTCAAAGAATGTTCACAGAGGAGACAGAAGGGGCTCCAGAAAGACGGAGAGGTGGGGCCACCCCCATGTGCTGGACACAGTGCACACAACGAGGAAGAATGAAGAGGCTTCGAGTGAGCTAGATACCTCAAAGGCAATGGGGCCAGATAACATCTCCCCATGGGGAGTGAGAGAGGGAGCAGAGGCACTATGTGTACCCCTAACAACAATATTCAAACATCTATCGAAACAAGGAGATTGCTGAGGCATGGAAGACAGCAAATGTAGTCCCAATGTTTAAAAAAGAAGACAGACATGAAGCATTAAACTTCAGACCAGTGTCACGACCCTGTATAGTATACAAAATCATGGAGAAGATTATCAGGGGAAGAGTGGTGGAACACCCAGAAAGGAACGATCTCATCAAAAGCAGCCAACATGGTTTCAGGGACGGGAATCCTGTGTTACAAACCTACTGGAGTTCTATGACATGGTGACAGCAGTAAGACAAGAGAGAGAGGGGTGGGTGGATTGCATTTTCTTGGACTGCAAGAAGGCGTTTGACACAGTTCCACACAAGAGATTGGTGCAAAAACTGGAGGACCAAGCAGGGATAACAGGGAAGGCACTACAATGGATCAGGGAATATTTGACAGGAAGACAGCAGCGAGTCATGGTACGTGGCGAGGTGTCAGAGTGGGCACCTGTGACCAGCGGGGTCCCACAGGGGTCAGTCCTAGGACCAGTGCTGTTTCGGGAATTTGTGAACGACATGACGGAAGGAATAGACTCTGAGGTGTCCCTGTTTGCAGATGACTGTGAAGTTGATGAGAAGAATTCACTCGATCGAAGACCAGGCAGAACTACAAAGGGATCTGGACAGGCTGGAGACCTGGTCCAGCAATTG